TTGGTGTACACGGAATAGGTTTCATGACATGGTTCCAGTGCTTTGGTTGGTCGATACAAACTTAATAGTATTAACTATATAGACACCTTATGCACAAAATGAATATTTTACAGTACTATATTTATATCGTTTTATAAAGTACAATAAAATTGCTATCATTGCTGTCTACGCTCGTTTTAATTTGTTTTGGTTTCATAGCAAACTCAACAATGAAACCCCAAAAGCTCTGAATGTATGACAGAAGATTTTATGGCATACAACAATCACTCTCATCAATAATTATTCAAACTTATTTACCTATTAATAGAATGAATAAATAAATTATATTTCCAATAACTATCACAACCTTCACAATCGATAAATCATTAAACCCCATATAAACACAAGAAATAACAAACAGTTATATACCACTGCATCCGCTCGAAAAAAAAAATCCGCTCGAATTCGCTCGGATTGGCCTTCGCTCGAAGTGGCATCCGCTCGAATTGACTTGTTCCTGGGCTGGGACATAAAAGGTTGTTGTTTGTTGTTATTTCGCAATTCGCGACGTCATCAACGAGTACAATACATTCAATCCCGTAACATGATTGGTCTATTTTTATCTAATTTGCATAATGATTTTTCCAACATTTTGCATAATGATTTTCCAACATTTTTGTCTATTTAAAAAAAAGTGTGTAAGTTATGGAGATGGTAACAATCATAAATCGATTATAAATTTAATTATATATTTTTAGACAAAAAATAAACCCTCTTGGCCCACGGCCAATTTTTTTGACACCATGACCATGCGTATGATTAACCTGTAGTGTATATATACGAAGAATTTTTTCTAGTAGGTTGACTAACAGGTACTTGGTGTGGTACTAGGTTTATTGCATTTATGGCTTAGGGGCCGTGGTTTACCTCCCTCCGTTTAGTCATGCTGGATCAGGGGTAGTAAACTCAGCGATCGTGGGTTCGATTCCCACACGGGGCAAGTTTTTTATTTATTTATTTTTTTAAGGTCGTGGGTTCGATTCCCACACGAGCCAGGTTAAAAAAATTTTTTTTTAAGGCAGTTTAGTTGATGGTGGATAATGATAGCAAACCCGGAGGTTGTGGGTTCGGTTCCCACACGAACCCATTTATTTTTTTTAAGGGTGAAGGTGGATAATGAATAGCAAACCTGGTGGTTTTGTGTTCAATTCCCACACGAACCAATTAAAAAAAAATTTTTTAAGGCAGTTTAGTTGATGGTGGATAATGATAGCAAACCTGGAGGTTGTAGGTTCGATTCCCACACGAACCCATTTTTTTTAAGGGTGAAGGTCGATAATGAATAGCTAACCTGGTGGTTGTGTGTTCAATTCCCATACGAACCAATTTTAAAATAAAATTTTTAAGGCAGTTTAGTTGATGGTGGATAATAAATAGCAAACCTGGATGTTGTGTGTTCGATTAACACACGAACCATATTTTTATTTTTTTATTTTATTTTATTTTATTTTTTGCGTGCATAATTCCTAGACAGGGTTGTTAATTCAATTCATATTGAAATTAGTGTTTTGATGGTGATTTTTTTTTCATTCAATGGGAATTCATATATTTTATATGAGAAGAATCTATGAATATTCAGCTTTCCGTTTGCTGGTCGGGGTGGGGGAGGGGAATGAACAACAGGATTTGTTTACCACGCACACACGAAAATAATTTTTTGGTTACCTCAAAATTCCCAGGGATGCAAGCTGTTTTTCAGTCATAACGAAAACATACATGTTGATAATATTGCAGGGATTCGGGGGAGGGGGTAGTGGCTAAAGCTTGTTTATCACCATCTAAATCCATCCCTGACTCACATCATGCATGCAATATGGTGGATCGCATTCGTACGTTTTATGCAGACATTGTGTATACACAGATCGATGTAATCGCATGAGTTGTTTCTGAAAGACATGCTTATTAATTTGATATTACATTTCATTATTCTATGTTAACCGTCTAATATCCTCTTTCAATATAACGACGGCCAACCATTGGATCAAATGTCCATTGAGTGTGCTTGTCGGACAATGGCTATTGTCGGTTGATTCCATTCACCGACATCGTTACTATATCGTCAGATGGGTAGGCTCGTGCAACAAACAAGGATGTCACAATAAAATACGGCTATTATTCAGCGTTTTATTAGTTGACTCTACAATCAAAAAACAAACTAAAAGACACTGAGACTGAATAACGCAAGTGAAGGTGACCAGAATGCGAAACGTTGGGCCTAGGTGACGGACAACTCGGTGCATAAACCAAATCTACCTCTTTGTTTAAGATGATAATGGTACAGTAAATCTATTTTTGATCATTCTGTTTCGTGAGTATATGTGTCGTCTTGTAAAAATTATATAATCTGGATAATATTATGGAAAGGTGAAGTACAGCAGAGAATGGTGTATTGCCTAGGATGACATACAGCTGGATTTTTTTGAATAAGCAAATAGGCTTATAGATCGCCATTGGTATGATTCATCTGATGCCATATTTAACGCATTTTTCAATATCTGGGTGTAACAGCTATAACGGAGAATATTCACAATGATTATGGACGATATAAAAACAATTACACTGATCAGATCCAGTCGTCAAATTGTTTGAATTTTGTGATTTCTCTGGTTCCTATCGATCAGAGGTCGATTTTCTTCCCAGGCTTATGAAATTTGATGGCTATAACTCAAAGTGCAATGCTTTGATATCGACACTTGCTGCCAGACTCGTTTGATGTCCAATCAGAGAAAATAGTTAAAAACCAAACTTAAGAATGTATACATGTGTAAGGGTTGAGCGTTGTTTGCAAGTAATGTGGCCTACAGGGTGCATAGTCACATTACTTGCTACTTTACCATTTCTCGCATCACATTCTAATTAAAATGTAATAAAAAAGAAACACATGTAGGAAATTGTACTATAGGGTAAAATTTTTAAAGCAAAAAATGTATATTTTAGCAAGATTTACGCTGAGTGGAATCCTTTGGTCGCCAGGTGTAAAGTATTTTAGAATGGTGTATATTGATATGACTCGTTGTATCAAGACTATAGGTCAGCATGAATTAGGCACACCAACGACACATTTTAAACCATATATTCGTTAATTTGTTTAGCCGTAGGAAATATTAGTAGGCCTACTATAATTTTGGTACTTGCGTACCTATAGCAACGGAGGTGTTGTAATGGGAATGTGATTTAAATTTCATTAAATTTAAACTGGTGGTGTAGGCCTAATTCTTGTTACAATCAAAATGGTGGAGCATTACAACAGCCATTTATATATTATGCTTTACGGGCCTAAACAATTTCATCATATCGTTGTAACTTAAATTTTGTCATATTTACGAACTGGACAGATAAACCTAACGTAAGCCTCATAGTACCATGTATAAGCGTATGCCTATCAGATTATTCATAATATTCTTTTCACCAAATATTATTGTTCCTATTATTTTATCAAAAGCATTCCTAAGAATTAGGTCGAGTGGTCTTACCATTAATCTTGCATTCCAATGACAAAAGAATAAGAAGAAAAACCAGTATAGCATTTTTTACCTTTGATTTCAACACAGAACAAAGATACGTACTTTGTGTAAGGATAGGCTTATATTGTTATGTGTATTTCATCTTAATAGAATGGAGTTTGTTTTTACTCTACTGTATCCGCCGAATTTTTGTATGCCATTTTGTTGTTTTGTTCCTACGTCACAAGAGGATACGGATGTAAAGGGTAGTCCCGTATTTATTTCTGAACGTATAAGGGAATGAGCTGTTAACTCATCGTACAAACCTCGGCAGTGTGTGGTAGGGTGGTCAGTTCCTTTTCACACCACCTTTTTCCTCCCCAGTAGTGGGTACCCATTATACTCCTGGGTGGAGAGAAACAAACGTATGGCAGTGGCGGATCTAGGATTTAACAATGGGGGTGGGATTAATAATGCGAGGTGCGAAGCACCGAGTTTAGGAGGGGTGGGGGGTGTAGGTTGACGTAGTTTCGGCAAGGGCGCAGATGTGTTTTGAAACCTCAGGACCACCATGGTTGGGCCTGAGGTGAGCAAAGTTTAGGAAACAGTACCTCTAGATGACCGGAGATTCATCATCATGACTTCACCATAGTCAAAATGAATTGCAAACAAATTTCTCATGATCTTGTACCAGCGATTTTCGAAAACCATTGAAATCTAATTAATATGTGGGATGTACCATATAAAATAAAACTTAAAAACATTGTCTTTGATGTACTTACTTTACTACTTCCAAGCTGTGAGTCCGTACATCCACATCAGCCCCACCATTGTTTGGGTGGAGGGGAGAACATTTGAGGAAACAGTACCTCTAGATGCCCGGAAATGAAACTTTTATATAGTAAAATACATCATCACCTCACGATTATACAGTCAAAATCATAAGCGCCAAAAAATGTTCCATGATGTCTTACCAGCGATTTTCGGCAACCATAGAGATGTAATTAATATGTGTGATGTAGGCCTACCATAGAAAATAAAACTTAAAAACTTTGTCTTTAAACATTTTACTATTGAACTTGAAAACATATTTCCCTTTCAATGAAAGCGTCACTGAGTGTTCACACATAGTCCACAGTGTGAACACACATATAACAGTGTGTTCAGACTGTTAGCAGCACACTGTCACTACGTCTTTATTCTGTGTAGACACAGTGCACGCCTCTCCAATTCATCACGATCATGGCCGTCGTCATCATCATCATCATCATCATCATTATTCTTCATCATCATCACACTGATGATATCATATTGATCATAATTACTATCACCATCATCACCACTACTATCACCACCACTTCCGTTGTTATTTAAATTTATAATATCAGCATTCAGAACATTAATAACTTCTAATTATTCTTTGTGCTCAGGTTTTTAAGAAGTGACAACGAACAATCAAGATGGCACCAGAGCCAAGTGAAAAAGATAAGAAAGAGAAGATGGACGAGCTTCTTCGACGCGTGGAAAACGTTGAAGATGAAGAGGGGTTTGCCAAATTGGAAAATACGTAAGTTTGAAAAACTCAAAGGGATGCCTAGCATTTAGGTTGTAGGTTACATCATAATGTAGCTTACAGTGATGTTTTGCTGATTTGTGTATGTTTCTTGTTCAATGTAAACGTCTGTGATTGTATTCAAAGTCTTCCCGATAAACTTATATAGATTTTAGGCAATTACATATGGTGTAATAATAGACAATAAAGGTCCGGGCATTCCACGTGGTATTTCTGCACATCCAATGACATATTACATTTTCATTTAATTTTTGCTAAAATGAAAATAACATTCTGTTATGTAAACTTTTATGAAATATATAAATATACAGTTGCCATATGCTTGCAGACTCATACACGCTTTTGGCTCCCGACGGAGTCCGAACCAAGGGGCCGACTACAGCATCGGTCAGGGTTCCGGAATAAAAGATCTCTGGTAGGGTTCACGGGGAACCAATTATTTTTTTTAATTTTTTTTTTTAGGCGTATTTTGGTCAAAATTGTGCTTTTAGACCACAATATTAGGGATTGGCAATCAAAATAACGTTACTTGAATAGGAAAATTATTATCATTTTTTTAAATTTTTATCCGACGACCTCGTAGTTGTAGTGGCGACGGAAGACAGGGGGTCCAGCCATGTCCGACTGGGGTGGGGGAATTCACCTGCCGCCCGCTGGGGCCACCACTGAGTAACAGATCCAAAGTCAAAATTCAGATCCAAATCCATATCCAAAATAAAAAACGAGGAAAACGAGTCTGTGAATATGAAAAATTTGCCCCAATCAAGATTTGAATGAGAGTCTTTTGCTGTATATGTAGACCCCCTTAACCAACTGGACCACTTTTCACTACAAAGACCCCGACGACGATAAGGATGGGATGTTGATAATGGCGATGGGCAATGGACGATGGAGAACAAAAAACGAAAGTGACGAAAATAATGATGATGAAAATGTTAAATATGTTATTAATGACAACGATAATGATGACGACAATGTTGAGGATATTGTATTAATTTTCCATTATAATTTTATATACATTTTATATAGGCCTATATAAATAATATCCATACTGTATTATACTTATTATTGGAAAAGTTAGGTATGGGTGTACACGCTCTTTAATTTAACCACATGTAAATATACCATTCACACATGTCCCTGAACACGATTCGATTAAAGCCGCAGTGTTTAGTTAACCTCTATACACTTATTGTGTATCGATGAGTTTTCAACGAAATTACTTACAGTGTTGAATTTTAATTATTGCGTTGCAGACGTATGAGATATTTAATCGGTTATGAGTGGGATTTAGAAGAAGCAGAGAGCCGCTTACTCGAAACTATTCAGTGGCGTAAAGAACGGCGACCACTTGAGGCAGACTGTAAATACTGCGAAGATCAGCCGGGATTCCACGCCTGGGTACGTTTATGCACAAATAAGAAATTAACTTTCTTTTAGCCTTCCATCACATTTTCTATTGGGGTGAGACAATGTCCTAAATTTGATCATCTCCCTTTAAATTAACCATTTTTACATAGACTAAAAAATGCCTGTCACTATACGGTGACTTAAACCAGGATCAAGGATTTGAAGTCACTCTTCAACGCATGAATTGTTTAATGTAATCATGTGTGCTCCTAATCAAATGGAGTTTACCTGAGAAGAGTTTGATATGAATTAGACTTAGTAATTACGGTGAATTCTAATTAGCCAATGCAGGTGTAAATGACGACAGTAGCACTGTATGTTTCTGCGTTAAGAACATTCTGGCATGTGCGGATTTCTACAGTATGTATATATTATGAGTAACTTCACAGTAAAAGGACACGCACCAAGCAATTGTTTAGCAAGGTATAACTAAAGATTTTATTGTTATAATATATTTAGATTTTATCATATAAATGAGTACACATATTAAAAATCATTTCATGATCGTACAATTCATAGTAAAAAAAGGATAAATTGACGTACTTTTTAGCCATATTTCACCATACAAACGTGTGACAAAGACTAAAATGTCTAAAATTGGATGTTGTATATAGTTTTTAAATTGTATTATAAGGATGGAACTCATTATTATATGTATAAGAAATATATTGGAAACTAATAAGATAAAACACTAGAAAGAAAAATAAAACCCATTTTTATTAATAAAATATGCAATTTGATGGTTTTTCTAACAGGAGTAACATTTGTATGTCAAAAAAAGTTCAAAATGGCCCAATATTCCTAAAAAGAAATGTTTTAATGTTTATCAAATTGGTGAATATATACAGTAAGAAAACATTAAAAAAAAAATGGTAGGCCTAATGATGCATTTTATTTTTGGTGCATCCACATTGGAAGGTCATTGACCCAAATGTATGTCAAGAACCTGTTCGTCCGTTACAAGGGAATAGGATTTGTAGTGTATTAAAATACAAACATGCATATTTCTTTTGGAAAGATAATTTACTTATCTTATCACATCCCTTTTCCAAAACATTGATATCATATCTTTTGTTCCACAGAGTTTGGCCTAAATCCTCTGTTACTCTATTTTCCTTGAAAATGTCACGATACCGTGTCCATTTACTGTGAAATTACTCACATACAAACCAGTAATATTAGTCATAAAATAGCCAAATATAGTGTTGAACGGACACTCGCTATTTGCCAGGAGAAAGCATTATCACTACCACCATCATTACCACCACCATGATCACCATCAACATCAACAACACTAATGTTATCTTTATCATCACCAATGTAATGTAATGTAGTATCATCATCCTCATCGTAATCTTAGTCGTCAAAAAGTGTCGTTATCTTATATCAAATGTCTAAGCGTAAGGCTTATTTAATGTTAAAAAACAGTAATCCAGACTGGACTACACTGCAATTCACTGTACAGTGGCCTGTTAAAAAAAGATTTATACACCCTACAAAAACTTTAAAATTCTGCAGCTAGACTCATTTTTTCTTGTAAGTCAAGTACACATACATCTCCCCTTATTCATGATCTCCATTGGTTGCCTGTACAGGAAAGAATTAAATTCAAACTTCTCTTTGTTTTCAAGTCACTTTCTTGCGTCTGCCCTTTGTACATATCCAATTTAATATCACTATGTACCCATGTGCGCTTAACAAGATCTTCCAACTCCATCCAACTTGTTCGACCCGTCTACCATAAACGAATTGGTGACAAAACATTCCCTTCAATTTGCTGCCCAACTTTGGAATGGTCTGCCTTATTCTCTCAGATCTTGTGATTCGCTTAGGCAGTTCAAAGCACATCTAAAAGCACACCTTTCTCAATAGTTCCTCTCACCTTGCTTGATCGTTTTTGTTTATTGTTTTCTTTGTTTTCTTTGTTTTCTTATTTTTGTACTGCTTTATTGCATTAGTTAAGTTAGCTCACATGGGTTTGGTTCTATGCAAGATACTCGGGGGGATGTTTCTGACTTATTGTGGAGAGTCGCTTACAGCGCTACGTAACTGAAAAGAAAGGCGCTATCCAAGTAACAAGTAACAAGTAACACTATTTGAATGATATTATTGTCAGTTTACTTTAACTTCCATACCGTACTGCGATATATGCAGATTTAAAAAAAAAAAATTAAATTAAATTAAAAAAGCCCTTGTGTTATAAATAGGATTCCTTAATTACTGCTTAATCGTATTTCTATTTACCTAGCGTCAAGTTGGCCACGATAAGACAGGTAGGCCTGTAATCTACTCCTGCTTTGCACAAGCATCAACTGTACACTACACTGCCGAAGATAATGTGCAGCATCTACTTCACCTGGCGGAGAACGCTAAGAGGAGCATGGGACCGGATGCATATCGATGGGTTTGGGTGCTCGATTGTACAGGTAGGAAACAATTGTATGCAAAATTATTTGAAATGTCGCGGCTGCGCAGCAACTTTTGTATTACTAAATCGTCCAATTTCTAATTTGTTTTAGTGAATTACGATTATCTTTCTATGCCTCTTCGGCGTAGGACTTTTTGATTATACTTCTTGTGATTGGTAATGCTATATATATATCTAAAGCTTATTTCCATAAAATTGCTTCAGCGTCTTAATCGTAATCGTTACACTGCGTAGCAATCATCGACAGAATCGGAAAAGCTCATCGAATAAACCACCGACCAAACAGGGCCACCAAAAGCTACTGACCATAGGTGTAGCGAGTTTATGCAAACAGCTAATACGCTAATCACTAGGTACAGCTGATCATGTAACGTTACACTATTTTCAATTAGAGTATATAACAGTTATACCGATTATTTGTTTCCAGGTATGACACTATCCGCTTGTAATCCTCGCCTTGGCAACGCCGTCAACTCAGCGATGGCTAACCACTATCCAGAACGTCTTGGCCACGTCCTAATTGTCAACCACAGCTGGCTATTTGAAGGTGCATGGAGAGCTATTAAAATTTTCATTCATAAAAACACACTAGCGAAGGCCAGACTAGCGCGAGGGGACAAGATCGAAAAGTGTTTCGAGGAATTCTTTGACCCAAGTTTGGTTCGATGGTTCCTCCAAGAGCTGCGATTAAACAAGCACAAACCAATGCTTCCATCACAGAAAACCTTCTGGAAACCACCAAATGATCCCGACTCGCACGACCCACGGGGTTGCCCCGACTACGTTAAAAAATACCTAAACCCCTATTATAAAGATGTTGTTTTGAAACAGGTAGGGATGACGAAAGCCCAACGGCCTAAGGTTCCCCCTAAGCACGAACCACATCCTAACTATGTTCAAGAAATGCGAGAACGTGCCAAACGACAACATTCAAGAAAATCAGACGATGAGAACATGAACCACGATGAGGATGTATGGATCGACTAAATATCTTAGGGATGACGTATTGACCAACCATACGGTTATACAATCATTTTGTGTACGTGGGAAATTGACTCAACATAATGCTGCTCAAATGAAGAACGATGAATACCAGTTTTAATTAACAAACAACCAATAGCAAAGAAAAAAATCACGAACGTTAAATTAGCTTAGAAAAATAATCTTCCTTAATTTATGTGCAATAATAACAATGTCCTACTTAAATATACGATGAATTTATATTTGATATTATAATTGACCTTAAATTTTTATAATAAATTTTACCACTGAAGATAGGCGTGTAATCATAGGTAAAGATAATGTTGCTATTAATTATTTAATTGATTTGAAACCAATCATTGTTTGGGTGCAGCAACAACTTAAAAATATTTATCAAAGGAGAGAAAAACAGTGGTACAACACTTTTACCGAAACGAGTGTTGTTTGCGCAAAATATGGAAGTATAACTAGAGGGCTGGACTTCGGGAAGTGTAGGCCTAGGCCATAATGTACAGAGAGTGAATGGTGGGGTGGGGTGGGTTGGAGGGAGCGGTAGATGTTTATTAATTAAACGGAAAACGATTTGTGATGTAAACAATGCAAACATTTGGTGGTTAATAAATTTTAATAATTTAGATTAGATGATTTATTAGAATATTTACAAACAATTTAAAGATTTTGTATGTGCATTTGTAACAAATAAATAGATCAAAGTATATGCAAAAATACTAAAATTTTTAACACTGATACTGCTGCATTAGTTAGGAAACCACAGCGCAACCACAAACACTACCAACGCCACAACTTAGCCTTAAGCCGGGCACTCACTACGTCATACGACGGTCGTGCGACCACCTAAGGCGAATCAAACTCCGCTCCCAGTGAGCGCTAGACGATGCGACGTCGTCTGCTGATTGTCGGTGGCAATCTGAACGGATCCGATCCGTTGCGCACCTCGTTGTGGAGTTGTGTTCTGTCGGCAGACGGTCGACCGTTGGGGGCACAGCGAGTGTCCGGCTTAATCTGGCTTAGTTTCATCGCCAAGTCCAAAGTTTCATCATTAAGTTTTCAAAATTGTTTCAGGTCTCCTGTTTAAATTCCTGTATTACATTCTGCCTTGAGTTTTCCCTGAGCTTGGAGATTTGGCGTGCGCTTTATAACCGAAAGGAAAAGGCACAATATAGATGCTCGTACCAGTACCAGTTACATATACAATGACAAACAAAACTAACTAAAAGTTATTCCAATCACACAGGATACAAGATGTACAGTAGGCCTATGGTAAGCCTAAATGTTCGTCTTCACCCTCCTCTGTTTTCGACTGCCTTCTTTTCATTATGATTTTTAAATTTTTGAATTTTATATATTTAAACTCTAAAAAACTGTAAATATCCCGGAGCCGCCTGCAAATAATCTGGACCCGCCCCAATACCTGACAGCCTCGAGAGTGGATTTAAGACGATTTTAAGTTTGATAAATCTGCCTCTTGAGCGGTAGCAGGCCCGTAGCCAGGTCATTTCATGGGGGGGTTCTCTGGGCGTGGGGTCCAGAGGTGGCACCAGGATTTGCCCGGGGGGGGGGGGGCCCCGACGAGGGGCCAGATTTCCCCCACGAAAGCAAAGTGGGCGTGG